TTTTAAGGGGTGCCAGGTACCCTGTGGATGAGCCTTTCGCTTTTGGGTTAGAACAAATGCAACACTTCAACTTGCTGGTTCTCAGCAGGGAATGAGGGAATGCCCCCTGCAAACCATCCCATATGGTTTCCTTCAAGGGTCATTCCCAACACCCTGGGTCATTCCCTACCTGTCGCACCCGCGAGTCAAGCTTTTGCTCTACGGCGCCTGAGACCCAGGTCTGTTGGTTGGAAAAGATCAGCATGGCGCCGATGATCTCAACTTGATCTTCGAAGGCCCATGGCCATGTTCCAGCTGCTTTCGGCACAAGAGCTTCGTTGTTAACATGTCCAAGTTCATTTGGGTATTGGCCAATTTTTGGATTGCTTTTAAAAGGGAAACCAACGAGAAAACATCGGGGGGGGGGGGTCCCCTAGTCATGTGTCCCGAGTTCGTCCTTCGCAGGAAATCTCTGCCGCATTGGGTGCCCAGGTTGCATTGAGCCCGGATCGGGAAAGTGGAAAGGCCAACCATTTTTGGGGACCCCCGAACAATGAGGCAAAATTCAAGTAACCATGGCTACACGTGTTTTTTTGCGTCTTTGTACCCGGGTTGCGAAGCATTGCCAATCACTGCGGCCGAGGAAGATGGTGGCTTTGCTCGACAATTGGCAGGAGCCAGTGTATTTGAAGAGGACACGGCAAAAAGAGATGCCCCGCACCTGAACCCTCAAACTACTCGTAAACATGGGACACTGCGTCAAATCTATGAGGCTGCTTGTGGTAGTTTGAGGGTCCAGGTCGACGTCGGTCGCATCAGATGCCCACCTTGGACTCTGTGGGATGATGACCTGAGGCAATTTAAGAGCTGCACCCACTCAAAACAAACTATGCCTCACAAGTCCTTCAAGGGCGAGGGGACATGTCAGTTTGTTTTTTGCGAGGGACCCCCTAAAATCAGTGTCGGTCTGGTTTCCTAAAAAAAACCAACCCGCACAAAGGGTACTTTTCGCCTCAAAAACGACACCCAGCGAATGGGACCAGGATTTGGACCATTTTTGAGCAGTATGTGGCTGTCACCAAAGACATCGAGGCTGCGGGCCTTCTGCCGGGCATGAAAACCCAGCCTGAGTCCTGCTGTGAGCCCCTTTCTGTCCAACTTTATTTCTGGCCCTTTGAAGTTATACCATGTCACGTCATGTGTTTTGTATGAGAAACGTATCCTGTGCTATGATATGGCTGGTTAGGTTATGCGTGTTGCCCGCCCCAACCCCAGATGATGCCGGGGATGCCAGCTTTCTGGGCTCCCAGCCGGGCCCCAACCCAGAAGGCTGACATGGGGTCGCGCGCGCGCGCCAGAGGCCCCGGAAAGAGCAGCCCAAAAAGAGCAGCCCGCAAGCCAGCCCGGAAACGCAAATGCAACAAAACACCGCAAAAAGCAGCGTTTTGTGGCTGGGGTCGCGCGCGCGCGTGCCAGAAGGCCCGAACACCAACGGGAAAAAAGCAAGGGCCGCGCAGCACGCGAGCCAGCCACAGCAAAAAGAAAAACGGACAGAACGACAGCCCGACGCGCAGCGCAGCAGTTTCGGGCGGTATTTACAGCGTTTTGTAGAGCGAGGGCCCAGCATCGCCGGCATGCCCGGCAGCGCTCGGCGCCAACATGCGCAAAAAGTCGCTTATATCCCTCCGACACCTGCTAAAAAACAGTGCTTCATGGGTTGAGAGGCTTTTTGGAAGGAAGTCTTGATGATGCAGACCAAGCCCCGCTGAAGCATCACCCAGGCCCAACCCCAGACCCTGATGACGTCAGCCACATGGCCTAAACCCTGCATATACGCAATGTTTTGCGAGGATTTCCCACAGGCAAGCAAAACCGCAAGACCGAGCTGGCGATGCAGAGGTGCCGGATTTAGGCAACGCATCACGACCAAGTGACAAGGGTCGGCGGCACCAGGGTGCAGCCCCTATAATTGCCTAGCGGCGACATGCTACCCCAGGAGCGTAGCCGGATCTAAGTACTGCCGCCCTGTGCCGCCGCCCCTGGCTTGCTTGTAACAACTCTGACTACGAGTTTTTTGTCAAGTTTGACGGCACACTTAAAGCATATATGAAAGGGAAGAGCACCACGATAATGATCATGCTTTTGATGGTGCAAAGTATTACCCAACATTAGGGATGCTGATATGATTACTATGCATTCGCATTATCGCCAGCAGTCATGTTGATAACTGCTACTTTGCTGCGTTTTTTGCATCACCAGCCGTTGTTTTGAGAATTATGACGACGCACCCCCTGCATCTCAAACAAGCTACCGCAGGATTAATTCGCATGATAATGAGCACCTTGTTGGATTTTACAAGAAGTGCCCCCGGTGTGTGGAAACTCCAAACCCTTCCCATGAGCCTCCCCTTGGAGAAAGGGGTCGGCGGACTTTCTGTCCAGGTTTTGACATTGCCACACTGAACTAACCTTGTTACCTTTCTTGCCCTTGGTTTTCCTTCACCTTCCCTTTCCACCAGGAAAAGGGTATCTATACCTTGCGGCTCGCTTGCGTTTGGCCCAGATCGATGACTATAGGGCGTAGGGTATACCCTGTCGATCTTGTCGCAGCTGAATTTGGATGGGGAAGGTCTGCGCAAGTCTTGTTGGTCTTAAAATCGCCTGATGGAAATGTCCGTTTTTGGGGTGTTTTTTGGCGGCGAAGGGAAGGCAAAGGGACATCGCGATTGTTGGGTTTAACCATTTCAAGACACACCCTGATTTCGGACACACCCTGATTTCGGTCTATGAGCAGCCCACCATATCCCAGACCCTTGGTGGTGTTTTCTTTCTTTTCGCTTGAAATCAGACAACAACGGTGGTCTGGGATATAGCAGGCGAATTTGGTGCTTGATTGTTTGTGGTGTGTGGAAAAGAACAAAAACGCTATGATGTTTAAGCCTACACGTGGAAAACCGTACGTGTAGTTACTGCCATCGGGAAAAAACCTCGACGTTCATCATACCGGCCCATGGTAAGCACGCCCGCCCCGCAGCATCCGCAGCCAGCAGAACACACGCCCAGCCCATGACAAGCACACCCGCCCCGCAGCATCCGCAACCGGCAGAACACATGGAAGACGGCTATGTGCGTCTGCTGCTCGATTCTGGGCCGCCCAGTCCGCTGTCTGCGCATGACTCGCCTAGGGCGGCCAACTACAAACAGTGGTATCATCGGCAACTGGCTGCCGCATCCGCGTTCGAGCGCTGCCCACATCAGCGAGTTTTGACCGATGTCGCGATCGTGTCCTCCACTGAGTCGTGCTCGCCAAGCTCCAGTTCCAGCTTGGGACTCCTGCCTTCACCATCGCCAGCAAGCGGCCCCGATTCGCGTATGTCAGACACGGAGGCAGATTCGCATATGTCAGACGAGGAGGCCCTGGAAGATGATCCTGTGCATATGACTCCGAAAGCGAAGAGTGTCCTGTTGAGCGAGTGCTGATGCGGGACAGCATGCAATTTCTACGAGACGAGGTTTGGAATGACAGTGAAGCAGCCGGCAGCCGGGCTGACCAGCCAGCCCCACCCGAACAGCAAGGACGCGTGCCTGGACCAGGTCATGATTTCCTTCAAAACCGCCCAGGCCGTCCACCAACCAAATGGGGGCGCTGTGTGCACTGTCAGGACCGCTTTTGTACACATTCGCACGGGTGCGCAGCGCAGGAGCCCAATCGACCCATCATGCGTGAGACCGTGAAGAAGGTGCGGTATGCTGGCAAACAGCTTGAGGTCCACACGGGCACCATTGACAATGTGTGACGCATGGTCAAGGCAGCGGTGCCGGATCAGCTGAAAACATGTTCGCGTAAGGAGATGCACGTTCTGAATGACAAGATTTGGTTGCATGTGAGGGCGTGGCAGCGGCGCTGGGAACACACGCACACTGTCAAGACGCTGAAGCAGATCTGACAGGGGAAGTAGCTACCAAGATGCAGAAGCAGATATGAGAGAGCTCGGGATCAAACGAACCAGTCGGCACTGCTCAAAACGCAGGCGAAACGCAATTTTCTTCGAAAAAAGGTGTAACTTTTCACCACTCACACCTTCGTTTCGTATGGTAAAACACAGTGTTTTGTTGAATCCCCATGTCACGGTGTGATTATTTTCCTCCAGACATGACAAAATACATGGCAGGCGTGGAACGGGGGTGACAGAGCGTGGCGCAAATTTAGCGCAGCTGCAAGTTCCATTTTCCACACGCCGGGATGTTTAACCGGGAAAGGTACCAAAATGGGGGGCATGAAACCTAAGGGCCCCCCAGATTTCCAACCGATTTATGTTCAGGGGTGTCTTTTTTGAAGGGTGCTAGTGAAAGTCAGAATCCGGATTTCCCGGATTCGCCCACTCCGGTTTATTGGTGTTTGGTTTTGCCGCTCTTCTCACTGAGTTCCTGGACGTTTGGCGGAGATGATATTAGTGGACAAGCCGTTTCTTTTTTTGTTTCCAAGATTCAGCAGGTGAGATAACCTACGGCGGGGTGACTTCGATAACGGAGCCGCCAAAACCTGCCGCGCGCGTCCAGGTGAAGATCATTTTGCCCCGAGACGCCGCTGAGCCTGAAAAACAGCCGCGTTTTGCTTCCCCACAAACCGGACACCATTGGGGCGGCTAGAAGCAACCGTGGTTGGCCCTTTTGTCGCCGACAGATGAATGGCGCGGCCTGCTTGGCCATGGCCGGAGAGAACGGTTTGGGCTCGTTTTTGGTCTCGTTTTGGTTTTGTTTTACTGGACAACTTTGGGTTGGTAGGGCCATTTTTTTTGTTCATAAGGGAGGCTTCTTTAGTGAGAACTTCGTAGGGAAGGGAATTCCCTTTGGTATCACTGTGTTATTTCTCATCAGGTCCCTGCCCCCGCTCGACCATCCCAATCAGGCAGGTGGTTTGGATTGGTTTGGGCATTCGAACCCCTTGCTTGTTGAGGTAAATGGTAAATTACCTCGGAACACCTCCTAGCCACGAGGAACGCTGAAACGTGACCATGTTGGGGGTTTCCCCATTTTGGGTGGTTTTGAAGACAAAGCAAAACAGGAAACCTGGAAAGGTCCCTTTTGCCTCAAACTTTGCCTTTCAACTTCGATTCCAAGGCAGAGGCGAACCTCTTCATGACCATCTCCAGAGGTGCCGCACCTCGCTCGGAGGAATGAGGGAATCACCCTATGAACCGTCCATTCCAAGCAGCCAGTTTCCTTTAAGGGGTGTTGATTGGTTCATTCCCCGATCCCTGTTGATTCCAAGTGGAGAACACGCAAGTTGTCAAAGAGAAGGTCGCAGGTGTTGCAAGTATATAAGTCATATGAACGTTTCTCAAAATGGCCCCTGGCTTGCATTGAAAGGGACAAGCAAACCGTTGCCACTGAGGGGGGATAGTTAGTAAATGGTGGGTATCCCTGGTTGGTATCACAGAAGTTTCTAAACTTTTTTGGATTCACCTGACCATTGTTTCGGGTCCAGGGACAGAACATTCTCTGATCAGGACCAAATGGGGCCAGTTCTTCGGCAGCTTCCCGCGCCGGGGAAGTCCTTTTTGGGCCTAAAAGTGCCGGTTTCCTCTTGGGAGCAGTGTCTGAAGCTAAACAGGTGTCAAAACATAGGCGTTGAAACAAAATGCATGGCAAGCCATGGGTTTAAAAGAACCCCCCCTCGTCTTTCCTTGCTGGTGTTCCGGAATGGGACCGAGGGAATGGAACCGTTTGGGAATTCCCGAAAAGCAAACCAGCAGTTGGCTGTGGGTCGAAACCAGGTACCCAACATGGACCCCTGGTAAGTGGAAGCATGGACCAAAACCTGCGGTCCCCTGGTGGCTTGATTTTGGCCCATACCCAGTTGGATGGTTTTTCTTGGGGTCATTCCATTTCTATTTCCTGAGCACCGCCCTGTCTTTCCCATCCCAGGAAGGCATCCGACTCGTGAAGGAGTCCCTTTGCGCCGTTGACTCTGCCACCGCAGACGCCTGGTCGCCAGAAGACAAGGAGGCGCGCGGCGGCTGGCGCATGCGTGCTTCGTGGCTTTTTTGCCGGAGCCGGAGACAGCAAATCTTATACCTGACTCAGAAAGGAGGTTCCCAAAACGTGGGTGTTCAGCCCTTTGATGGTTTTGGGGTCATGGAAATCCAGTGTCCATTACTTTTGAATCACGTGGGTATCTTTGGAGAGGGTAGATGAAGGCTAGTATAGCATAGTCCCAGCTTGTATGAAAATATAGGTGCCGGTATCCCTTGTAATTCTTTATATGGTTTTGGGTAGACCACCACTATGTGTAGGTCCTTTCCTTGGATCCCACATTTCAGCTGTTGCAATTTGGGCTTTTTGTATCTCATTGAAGAATTGTTGCTTTCTAAGGTGCACGAATCTGGCCCAGAATCAACCACTACTGTTTCCTTTTTGGTGTCCATTTTGGCTCCTCAACCTCTGTGTCCATTGTGACTTAGGTTCACTAAATGTGAACCAGAATCAAACTTGTGATATTTGGTTGGGGACAGAAGCTGAGCTAAATTGACCACACATGTCTCGATTTTGCCAAACAGACGTCAGCGCGGGATGGCCGTGTCTACTCAACACCGGCTTCACACTATGATATCCATTTTGGTTTCTAGCCTTTTCCGGTTTCCATGTTGATCTTTGCAATCCCTTTGTTGCATTGTGCTTTTTGTCCTCTGGCTAAGCATGGGTACCTGACAGCATCTATTCTTTCCCCAAGGATCAAAGAAGCAGTCACCGCAATTAAAAGGGCAGAATTCCCTCGCTGCCAGATATATTTTTTTGAAACCACGGGTTGCCCCAAGGCATTGGCTCCTATACGTTTCGCACTTTCATTGGTTCCCCGAAAACTCATAGGGAAAACGGAAGGCTGTGCCCCCATGGCTAAGAGGGCGTCGACCTTCCTTTCTCACGGCGCCCCTAGAAATGTGTTTGGGACGTCCCCCACATGGCCATGGGTCAAAAGCCGGTACCCCCAGTGAACATCCCAATCTCCACTATAGGCCTATAGGTCCTAAAATGGGTGGTGAATTCACCTACCAACCAAAATGGGATCCCAAAACGTAGAGGAAATCACCCATGGGGCCCAGGTGTTTTGTGTGCCTGCGAGTGCGTTGATTGCTGGAAACAAGAGCACGCAACTTAGAAGCTTTTCAGGGGACCTTATGGAACTTTTTTAACTTTTGGAAAAACTGGAGATGTTGCCTTTGTTTGTTCAAGGGCAGCAACCGCGTTGCTTTCGCCCCAAGTTCTGCTTCCCGAGGCCATCCAGTCGCTGATTCAACGGACCTGTGGCTTTCACACCCTGAATCAGCACGTGAGACACTCGACTTGTCGCGTGCGTCGATTCTGAGCCATCGATTCGTGGGATGGTTTACTCAAACAAAAGCCAACGAGCTTCTCCCGGGCACGGCAATACTTGACTAAAAAAGCAGGTATTTACTAAACATCTGTTGTTTTCAAACATAAGGTTAAACAAGGTATTTGGGGTGGGTAGATAAAGGGTAAGAGACGGGTTATCAACAACCCTTGTGGTTTTGTACAATTTCGTTTCGGGTTGACCAATTTTAGAACTAGGTTTTAATTGTGACTTGATGCCCTGGGCACATCGAGCTGCCCGCCTCGGCCAGTATTCTTTTGGTTGGCTTTGAAGGACAGTGTTTTTGTTTGCCTCGAAGTGTGGGTTTTTGCAGTGAGTGAGTCGGCGCCGAAATGCGTGAACTGGTTTCCAAGATATTTGGTGGGTGCATGTTCGTGCGTTTCCACATGGCTTCAAGGGCTAGAACGAGATCCTCAGCCTAAGGGCAAAGGGCTGGGCCGGGCAAGGGAGCCTTAGAGCTGCGGGCTGGGGGCGAAAGAAGCGGGGTGCTTTGAGAAGATACGCGTGATTTGAAGAATTTAACAGCTGTGATGTGGATCTTGACGCTAGCTGGTCTGGGGCAAGCCCTGGAATTGGGCCGTGCGAGCGGGGGGCGGGGGGGGGAGGCGGGGGGGGGAGGCAGGTGCGTTGGGTGTTGCAGAAGATCCTGCTGATATCGAGAAGGATCTGACAGCTTCAAGGACTCCCTTCAGGACGGCTGGAAGCAGGATCCTGGGGGCCGCGGCATATATAACTACTTTACCTTGCGAAGGCAGCGAAGGTTTGTGTTCGGGGTATCCCTGCCATACTAATCATGAAAAGGATGTCATTGGCGCATGAGAGGGCACGGCTCCGACCCTGCTCGCTTTTGTGCAGGTATGGGTGCGTGATGTTTGTGCCCTTTCTGGGCTGGGGTTCCATACGTTGAAAGAAACAAACAGGAGTTTTTCTCAGTGATGGAGCCCCAGAAACCATGAGAAACCCACAAATGGCTATGAGTTTCAATGGTTGGACAACCCTCAAATATGGTGTATGTATATATATATATATATATGTTGGTGTTGTTTGTTGTTTTTGTTGTTGTCGCTTTTGTTGTTTGGGATGTTTGGGCTCAAGAAGGTAAAAGCACATATGTATATATATATATATATATGTGTATATGTATATATACACAAACACATGTGTATACATATATATATATATATACACACAGGTATATACATGTAGAGATCCCGATGTATTTCTGATGTCCACCAAGGAGCGCATGTCCAAGTCAACAACATATGTGCCACAACTGTCAACCCCTTCATAGGGGTTGTAGACAACAAAGGTCAATTTGGGTTTTTGGCCTGGAAAGCTTATGCTTGGACATGTGTGTTATAGAATTAACAAGAGACTTCTTCCCACCTCGAGTTTGGGCAGTTTTTCGCACACCCGTTTTAGTTGCGCCTCAAAGGTGGGGAGCCCCAGCATTGTGTTTTTTCTTGTTTGGTTTCCCTTGAAATCAACCCAATAACCGGGTACCCCAAGCACACTCCCCCCCAGATCAATTCGAGCTGAGGACAAGTCATGATCAACTGGGTTGGCGATGTTGTGCCGTGGCAGGAACTTGGACGTTTGAGAGATTGAGCTGAGATTCGGTTGTGTTTCGAAAATGCCCGCTCTTGGTCGTGTTAAAGGAAGGCCAAAAGGACAGCCACCATTTTTTTGGGGATGGGTCAAAAGTAAGCCACCAGGAAATGTGAATCGTCCATCCATCAAGGCAATCCATTTTGGGGTTAGCAACGCATTTTTCAGACAAGCCCTTGAAACTTCGAGCCAACCTGGCCATTGCCCGGGCACCGAGGCGCGGTTTCTCGCCGGGTCGGGCGGTTTCGGCGGTGATATCATGCCTCGGGTTTTTTGGGCCATGGGGCTTTGGGCGCAGGAGGAATTGCGGCCCGCAGCACCCACGAATTGCTTGTCTTTTTCTTCAGGGTATTTAAAATAGCCCTGCATCCTTATACTTTTGGGGCTCGCACCATCTGTAGTGGCAGCGAAAAGGTTTAGACTTGTTTGGCACACAAAAGGGACGTGAGAGTGAGATGACCGCCAAGACGTTCTGCCAAATGGGGCCCTACCCACAATCAACTGGACGTATCCTTTTCGCCGGGGATAGGACGCCGTTGCCACTAGGACTTTCTAGAGATGAGCGGAGGTACCTTTGGGAAGATCTCAAGGTTGCGACTCAAGGAACCTCGAGGTTTTCGATGGATCTCAAATGGGCGTGTCCTGTTTTCAAAGAGGACCCTTCCAAGGTGGTGGGTTTCCTCTTAGTTTGCCTTTAAAACCACAAAGCATGGATACCCCCCCCACAAAACAACAAAACAAATGGGGTAGTTCAGCTCAGGAGCACTGCCTTTGCGAAGCCCATTTCTTTGGTCCAAATCCCTTGACATAGACATGAACAGCGCCCAACACCCTTGGCCATTGTAGGTGCTAGCTGTTTGGATTTAGTAAGGCTTAAGCCTTACACAGTTGTTTTCAGCAGGCTAATAGGTGTCCTTATGGATTGGCGTCATTCCATTTACTAGGAGCATTTATTGTCCAAAAGGTCACCTATCGTGGTTCCCAGCCATCCCCTTGGGTTTTTAGAGGGTTTTTAGGGTTT